GGTCCTCTTCTATTTCTAGTCTATGTAAATGACATAACTTGTTGTTCCTCTTCTTTACCAAATTGTTTGCTGATGATACCAATCTTCTCGACAGCGACAAATCTTGTGCAGTTCTTCAGTTGAGAGTAAATTCTGAAATTGCGAAAGTATCAAATTGGATGCGGTCTAATAAACTAACACTGAACATTGGCAAATCAAAAACTATGTTAATATCTCCACACCAGTGCAAATCTAAAAATGAAACAGTAATACAAATTGATGACAAAGAACTTGAAAATGTCCATTCTTATAAATATCTTGGCATATGTTTAGATAGTAAAATGAATTGGGATGTTCACTTATCCAAATTATCCGTTAAATTATCTAAATCGGTTGGAAATAATACTTTACAAGCTTAGACGATTTACATCACCAACAACACTAAGGATGGTGTACTACTCCTTATTCCAGAGCCATATCCAATACGGCATAATTGCTTGGGGTCAGCTGTTAAAACATTATTACATCGCATTGAAATTATGCAGAACCGAGCAATCCGTGCATATCTGCCGCTAGTTATTTTTCACACTCAGTCCTATTTATTATAACCTTCAAATTATTAATTGGCAGACATTTATAAATAGAAGTTTTGAAATTGATGCACCAACACCACTGCAAAAAACTCCCTCCTGCGTTCACAAACTATTTTTCAAAACAAAGCAATGTTCACTCATATGGAACACGGTCCTCTATTAGCAGTTCTTATTATGTAAATCGTTTTAGCACCAAACTCACCCAAAACTCAATCAAGTTTGTTGGTGTTAAATTGTGGAATAATCTCCCCAATAGCATTCGGACCAGTACTATAACTTGTATAAACATGCACTGAAGAGCCTATACCAAGATGCTTATAAGCTAGTTGCAATTAGTCTGAAATATTATATTTGTATATGTACCGTACCTATCCTTGTGGTGCTGCTTTTCTCATCCATGTTCGTGCAGTTGTGAGTTGTGTTCGTGTGTGCTAGCTGTTCTTTTCTTGTTTTAATATTTTCCGCCCAACCTATATGCCACGAATACTGCAGAACCCATAATTATTCTGCACTACTCTAATAGCCACTAACAATCGCTTTCAACATAAAATCCGTTAAATACGGTATCGATTCTCGCAGCCAAAAGCCCGTTGCTGGGCACGCCATATTGGTTTACTGTGTATGCTTAGTCAGCATTATTTCGCAATTCTTTGTTGTCATTGAGGCATATCCTTCTTACAGATGTCGCTGTTGAGTCATATAATACGATGTATCATTGTAGTATCTCGGTGTTTATTTCGATTTTATTTTGTTCTTACTTTATGATTGAGTTTAATTAGGTAAATATCTAATACTCCATAGTTATTATGACATCTGTATTTTATTTTTCAAACTTTGTTGTTCCTTTTTGTGATTGAGTCTAATTAAGTGAATGTTTAGGTAAATTTTCGTGGTCATTATGGCATTCTTTTTGTTGTCCCTTTTATAATATTGAGTTGTTCGGTTGCTATATTTGCTGCTTCAATGCAGCTACAAGGTGTCGCTGACTGGATGACTCTTTGAGTCTTTCGCGATCCCTCGTCTATTGCAACAAGCCGATATCCGTCTTCGTAATTTGTTATATGCCTTTTTTTATTTTTTCATATCGTATATTGGTTTTGCATGACGAAAATAAAATCTGAATCTGAATGTCTATGTTGTCGAATACATGGCTATATCCTGGTCTGATTTACAAAGTATAAGGAAGTTTCATGCCTTAGTGTCAATGTGACTTATATTTATTCATTTCACTGTTGTATGTTCATGAAATTTATTATTTGTCGAACTTGTGGCTCAGTACATCAGCAACTCGTGACTAGTGACGCGGGATGCGATGACTCGACTTGACCTGGGACTCTAACTATAAAATTTGCTGCCGCGTGGATTTGTCTCGGGTCTCGGATAACATGCGACTAGATTTTACTCGGACACGATGTTCTACCAACACTGGGTAATCAATCATTAGGATCGGGAGTGGGACTAGGTCGGGAGTTTTTTGACAAGGAAGGATGATATTACTTCATTTTGTCTTTCGTGTCCATATTTATGAGCGTTGCTCTCGTTTCTTTTTCATTTGTTAGAATGGTGAGTATAGGCAAAACCTGGAGTGACCGGTAACTGGACACCATCTCCCTTATCGCTTTAAAATGGATCGTTACTTATCCGATCTGGGTTCGATAAATGTTTGGGAACTTCAATCCGTTCTTTTGGCATGGCATAGGTCTTTTATTGAGTGAGATTTATTTATTGAGTTAAATCATTGTGAAATTATTCGATTATTTGCAAAAATGTGAATCTAATGAATTGGTAACTACTACCCTGGATTTGTGCTTTACAGTGGAAGCTTCCCCGAACTTTGACCCCAAGACAATTCTCCGGATACTTTACTATTGCAAAAAGTGTTAGACTTATTTTGAGAGCGCGTTTGCGAGTTGGCGCTCATAAACTGGCTTACATGTTAAAACTATCATGTTGACGTGCCGCCTACAAGTATTGATAGCTAAGTTTATGCTAGTCTATCGCAGCATCCGGAGAATGCGGGAGAAATTTTCGAATATATATATATTACAACTAAACTAAAGCTCCTCGGAAGACATAATGGCAATTTAGTTATTTGATTCACAACTATATTTTGAGAACAAAACTGAAATTAGCCGACAGAAACATGAAAACAAGGCAATGCTTAAATATCTGTTTGAACGAAAGAAGTGTCTGAGAGGCTGCACAAATTGAAATTATCACGTCATTGTATCACGTATTGCTGATTGGTCCTTTTCACAGAAATAAACTATGAAAAACATCCACTATTGAGCGTTTGCTCATTTTAAAGAGGAATCTGAATCCGGTACGAACACTACTTGAAAAGAGAGATGCAACAGCAGCCAAACCAGGGAGGATGTTTTGGGGTGGGGTTGGATATACAAACATATTACTGGGGATTCGGCGTAGTTTTAATGATACTGTTTTGGTATTCAGTGTTTTTGCAATACATAATTGTGGACACATTATGAAATATTCGAAATATGCACAAAAGCCAGAGAGCACAGTGCCCGCGTAACACTAGTTATAGATAAGAATCCTTTATCGATTAAACAAACGATGGAATCATAATTATTGTGTGTAGTGATGGAGGAATAAAAATCCGAAGTAGGAAAAGGGAGGTATTTATTGAAAAAGGTTGGGAACCACCGGACTACAGTTTAGTAAAATTGATGACGCAGAATAATTTTCAATAGATTTCCTTTAACTCAATTTACAAATATAACACCGCTGTACAGTTCGTGTATACAGGTGGAAGTAGATTTATTATATAAATATTCAATAATGATAAAAAACACCAATATGGGCCTTTCCAGTTTATTGTGAACGATTCAACTTTATTTTAATTCTACCAATGTATGAGCCGTTTACGTCAGTCAATACAATGTAGTGGAACTAGCCTTCCAAAAGTATTCTGCTACTCCCCATTGCATTTCCTCAATGAGGCTTTACTTCGTGGTCTATTTATACGCGGGAACATTTAAAATGTACAATATTGTATTGTAGCATCTGGCTGTTTTCACATTCACATGTGGATAATACCCATTGAAAAGTCATTTAGGATACACTACTATCGATTGATTCGAACACAAATTTCTAGATTAGAGCAAATATTACATTTTTGCAATCCTTTAATCTGAGAATACTACCCCATGACTACTATCAATTGATTTTACATCGAATTTTTGGTACTCCCGAAGTATGTAAACCAAGATGGCTGACACCGGAACGTAGTATATGCGTATTGCGTACCAGGTTAGGATTAGGCAATAATTTTATTCTAATTTTAGTTCTATTACAAGTTCGGGGACTAGCCAAGTGACTCCCGTAGTATTTGTACCTGAAATTATGACCTAACCCTAACCTGGTACACATACTACGTTTCGATGTCCGCCACCTTGGTTCACATACTACGGGAGTACCGAGTATTTGTTCAAGGCAACGTCATTGTCAATCATTCGAATGGAAAGGTAGTTTTAAATTGATTTTTTTTAATATTTGCCTAAAGCAAAGTCATGCTCACTCAGAGTAAATGAAACATAGTTGAGAGCAAATTTACATTTTCACAATACTGTAAATTGACAAAAATATCAAATCAAAGTTCGTCATGAAATAGACTAACATACAGATTTCAATTTTTTTTTTAAACTTTTCCAAAGTAAACTTATGCTCAATCATTTCTAAACAAAGATAGCCGAGGACAACTTTTACGTATGTACGTTTTCACAATATCATAATCTGAAAATAATACCAACTGAAAGTCATTTAGATATAGAATACTTTTATTGATTGAACTCAACTCAAATTTGCTTTAAAATTAACTAGGGCAAAGGACTGCTTACTCATTTTAAAAGAAACAAGCCGAGAGTAAAGTCGCGAGAATAAAATACAATTGCGAGAGCAATCGAAACGATATATAATTTGGAATACTCTCAGTTGTATTTTATTTTTGTTTTAAATATTAGTATATTGTTTATATAAAATCGAATCAATCTTAAAATTATTTAATTTTACATCCCATTAACGCTTCCATCACGTGGACTAATAACGTAGTCATTTTTCCTAGCGCGTTTTTGTGACGTATTGTCTTTGACGTCTTTTGGTCTCTCAGTTCCCATGGCGTCAGTTTCTTCTTCCTCATCAAATTCAATACATTCGTAATCATGCAACTTCTTTGTTACGTCATGTTCCACTAAATGTTGATGACGTAATTGATGTAGTGACGTCATCGTTCCTGGGTATTTTGCTCTATTCTTGGTAGAATATGGAATATGGCCCCCCAAACTGATCGCACAAATGGTCGTAATCGTCCTCGTTTGAAACCGAAGGCTCTGGTTCGATTGCTTGATGTGACTCCTCCATACCTATGGTGTTGTAAAAAGGTTGATTTGCGCTCGCCAGCGCTGTACGTCATTCATTACTTCTTATGTTTTCTCCACATGAGCCAAGATGGGAATGTAGGCTACTTTCTATTGGTGTAGCTGATTTTGGTACAATTTGTTCATCTTCATCAGCTGAACGATGGACGCAAGCATTTGTTGTGACCGCGTACAACACATTATCGACCATTTTTACCTTGATATTTTTCTCATCCTCACTAAGCGAAGGTTTACTTCGTAATCGCGTCATTCGAATTCCTTCCCGCTCTTTTTCCGCTTGAATGCGTTTGAATGTTTTCTTTTCGCCGAGATGACCACGAGGAGCGTTTTGGTCAGATGAGTCAACTCCAGAATCAAAGCACTGTGTAACGCTCCAATATTCATTTTCTGCTGCTGAATCTCCGTTGAAATTTTCGCAGCACGTGCTTGCATCGCAGTCATGTACGCAATAGGCATCACTTGCTGGGTAGTTCCTGAAAGTAGTGTAAAAATTATCAAGTTAGGTACGTAGAGGATTTTCACTATTATATACTGTCATACAATTCGGTGTTGCGGACTAATTTTATCCCAATAGCAAGTTATTTATTTTAACGGCAAAGTATCGTATTTCACAGACCATGGCCATAAGGCGCACCAGGCTATTAGGCGCACCGGGTTATAAGGTGATATATATGATCGATTTCAAGATAGAAAAAAGAACTTGAAGCGCTGCTTATGGTCCGTGAAATGCGGTATACCAAAAATTTCTGATCTTGGACTATCATTCTCCCGTGTATAGCTAAAGCTGTTTGGAATTATGTACAACTGGGTAAACAAAATTAAAGAAAAATTTGTATCTGGAAGAAAGATCGATTGAGTACTTTGTATGTGGCGTATTGTTGCGTGTTCAAGGATTTATTCGGATATATAAATTTTAATGTTGATGTCTTCACATACCTTGAAGTTGAAACTTTATTTGTTCCTGGACCGCAAACGCGCTTTTGTCTCATCTGCCAGTTTGTTCCGCTTTCACTTCCTGTTCCGCGAGGGCGACATGTGTAGGCTTACCATAAATCTGAAACAAAAAACCGGGACGGTGCGATTTGGCAAACATTCGGTTGATTGCCAGTCTTTGTAATATTGAAACGTCTACCATGCCATTGCGGGTATATACGGCTGTAAATCTCTATACTGATCATTGAATTAGAAAAAACACAAAAAAATAGTTTGTATTATTTATTTAGACCAAAAGTATTTGTTCGCAGATGGAACCCTTCTCAAAAATTCTTGTTTTGATTTTGTCATAAAACTGATAACAAGAGACATCACCATTAAATTTGCAGGTTACGAGTGCTTTTATATTTTCTTCTGGCATTCTGAACCTGCTTCCAGACCAAAATTTTAACAATGGAAAAATCTGTTCAACAGATGCCGATGTTCCGGCAAACAAAATCACGAGTTTCTGCAAATTCGAAATGCTAATATTTCTGTTAGAAAAAACGTTAAACATCTCTGTCCACTTAAATTCAACCGCAAAGTAAGCCAAATTGCATTTGAACCATGCTCAGATAAATATCTCTTATCAGTATTCGTCGAAAGGTGCATCTCTATTCAAAACCTGACTAGCTAACCGAACATATCATTTATCAATTTTGCAAACCAAACACTTTAGTCCAGTTTAAATCACCCTTCGAATTTGTCCATATGTGGGGCCTGGGGAGCATTGTAGGCTTCATCATGCAGCTTTATATACCGCAAACATTCTTTTTAAATACAGTTACGTCGATTTCGCCAGAGCGTTCCAAGGATTCCAGAAGTACAAGTGATTGCGACGGAATTAAAGACTTCACCCTTTTTCCTTCAAATTTAGCTTCACCTCTGACATCTACGGCAGGGGTCGGCAACCTTTTGTCGCTCGCGGGACAAAATTAAGGGTTGCGAGTCATTGGCGGGCCGTACATATTTTTAGAAAGCTGAAACCGAACGGATGATACTTTTTATAATAAAAATCAAGCAGTAATACATCTTTCGAATAGAATATAGATTTATTTAATTGCATTTGAATATTTTCAGCGCCATTGAACCCTTTGAACTTCGCATCATTTTTCTGCGTTTTGTTGCCATTTGTCTAATTATAATTAAATTATAGGCTCATTAAACGAGTAGTTGTGAATTATATACTTGTTAGGTTATAATATAATTTAGTTTAAAAAATATAATCGTCAAAACGGCTGTTTTGTTACTATAATTTAGTGAAGCGTCACGAGCCGGATTATAATATTCTGCGGGCCGGATCCGGCCCTGGAACCGTAAGTTGCCGACCCCTGATCTACGGCATTAGTATTATCTTTTTTCAAAATTAAAATAATTTTGTTGAAGTAGGTGAGCTGGCAAAGGACAAATTTCAAGTGAAGTTCGTACGCTGGAACATTTAAGCATAAGAGTAGGACATCCTTCTTGAGAATTGAATAACTTATCAAGCTTTCAAACAGTTCCGTAATCCTTTGCAAAGCAGGTAATAAAGGGAAAACCGAGTGTTGCCATGCTGTAATAGCCGTTGATACTCACTATCAACAAAATCGCAGAATGATTTCTCCTCTGTTACTCGGACAGTGTAAATGTAAAATATTTATACATTTTGACAACAACACAAACAGGCAAAGTATCTACGACATGTTGAAAATGGCATCGCAGTGCACTGTTGAACTACATGGTACGCACAATCTATACCGGTTATATTTCTTTTAGTTTGAAAAAAAGCATTATTTGTTTTTCGTCTTTTTACGCCTCCAAAGTTGATGTTGCAATTATCCGCACAGAATCCAAAAACTTTTCCGAGAACAGAGAGCAAGTATTCAGTAAACGTTTTGGCGTTTCCTCTGGGTAAAGATTTGAATTCTAATAGTTTTATCTTCACACCAACATCAGGTAAAAAAATAACGAACCACAACTGGAACAAGCTTTAAATTCTTTCTGTTTGATGCATCGAAGGTTACTGTTACGAAAATCATCATTTGGTTCAGAGGAGAACAGCGGAGCAATTCAATTAAAAATCACCAATTCTCATTTATTTCTGGCTAAACGTGCAAAATTAGCGAATCTGCTTATCAGACAGCGGACATCAGAAATTCTAACTGTGTATAATTAATGCAAATTTAGGCTAAAAAAATTAAAATCAATTCAGAGGTGCAGTCAAAACTTTGTGTGATAGGCAAATGTCGGCTGCCAACGACAAAGAATCATCCGAATTTGTTATCGCAAAAATTGGTCAGTCGAGTCGATGCCTCAATTAATGTTTTGTGCTTCCTGCTTTGGATATGATCGTTGACATCAGAACGACCGTCTTGACTAATAGAAAAACAGATCTGCAATGCGTACAGTGTACCTTTCCTCCTTCAGTTTGCGCAAAATAAGGAAAATCTTCTTTCAACTCATTAGAAAATTTGTACTTCTTTTATGGCATTTCGACAACTTAACGGCATTGTAGTTAACGCCAGAAAACGCATTAAAACATATACCGATTGTGACATAACAATAGAGCAATTTTTGACTCTCTGAACTAGCGAAGTGTGTCGCAAAACAGTGGTAAATGGGCTGCCACCGTTGAAAAAAAATTGTAACAATAGGAACATGAATTTTTCACCCATGACAGCCGTGCTGACAAACCGGGACATTTGAGTCAACCGGCCGGGACGCCGGGACAGCTCGTCAAAACCGGGACTGTCCCGGCTAAACCGGGACGTATGGTAAGCCCAGACATGTGACCCTTCCACTGACGCTTTCAGCGCGTGGTTGAGATTTCGTATTGAAGTTGCTGTGGTCGCTTTCCATCGGATTAAGACTTGCGCTCCGGCCCGTTCCACGTTTGAACACGGAGCCATCATTACCCATTGGGTGAGGCGATTGGTTCAAAGGAATGGGAGGTAACGGCTGGAGGGAACATGAATTTGGGGCACGCTAGTAGGTGGGGTCGATGACGTCGACAGAAGTGAAGAAGCCGACGGTTCCCTTGATCCCATACTGGTAGCAACCACTGATTTACTTCCAAGTTCTCGCATTTGTATTCTTGTCCGCGGAGAGGTCTGATGAATGTGATTTGAAGTATGTCCTACTCCATTGAGATTGGTGGCCATAATATGCGGATGCTGCTTGTTTTTCCCTTTTGCACCGTGACCTACAGGACTGGTCATGCTTATACAGCTACCCCTGCTACTTAACGCGTCACAGGTAAGTTTAACGCCGTTGAGTGTAGTCTCGCTTCTACCGAACGTTCCTGAACCATGTCTTAGTCCAAGTACATGTGAAAATCCTTGAACTAAACCGCTTGGTATGGATCCCATTGTACCAGCGGAGAACGATGGCGATGTGACGTCATAGCGAGTCCGTCTGTTTTTTTGCATCATTCGTATTCCGCAAATGCCTTTGAGAACGATTAGCAGTGGCACAATGAAGACGAGAAGTCCTGGAATAAATTCTTTGATATATTATTAATCAATTCGCGAATTTTAGAAATATACATACACATCGATAAACATGGCCAATTAATTCCTCGATATAATTCAATTACAGTTAATTTACCCACAAAATTCAACTTTCCTATATTTTCCTAACCTTATTAGCAATAGAAAAACTAGTACAACATGCTCCGCCCTCATTTGTTTGTGATAGACCCTGGTACCGCATCTTGTAATTTCTACCAAAGGAAGGTGAAGTAGTATCCCCAAAATACCCCAATAAATACTATAAAATGAGGCCCGACCAATTGTATTAATGCAGCCGCAATTGCCCCATTACCAGTATTATAACCCCATTGCTGGCGGACTGCCGCATACTTCGATACTTGTCAAACGATGGGAGAACGCCCGAAAAGAAACATAACCCGCGTCTTTTCGGGAATTGTGCATACGAAATTAACAAAGCAGAAGCTTTGTTCTGCTTTGTTAATTTCGTATGCACAATTCCCGAAAAGACGCGGAATTTGAGATTAGGTACACCTTCACGGGCACCAAAATGCTAAAAGTTCGAGAACCCTTAATATAAAATATTCAACGACTACATTGTTGATATAGTAACTTGATATTAATTCAAATTTGAAATTGTTCGTTACGGCATCGAATTCCGCGCGAAAATATGCATCGAATTCCGCGCCAAAATATACATCGAGTTTCAAACGCGAAAGATTCCTTCCTGTAGGATATATATACAGAGTCAGGAAAGTAACATAATAGATAATTATTTATTAGTTTTACAACAGCGAATAACACTACTAAAATATTCCACAAAATAAGTGATATATTAGGTGTAACTCATAATTCATTTTCAATAATGAGAGCATGTTATGAAATGCTTTTGCGCGATGCATTTCATACGAATGATTGGCCCATGTTGAAAATGAACATCAATTACCAAGTTATGGCATGTAAATTACTGATTATTTTTAAAAGGGTCTCATAATCGACGCGTTTGGCGTTCAAACATTGGAAAAACATTCGAACGAAATCTTTCCTTTTCCGATTGTAAACTACCAAAACATTAATTTGAAAAGCGATGTTTCAACTATATTATGCCATTGTTCTTGGAAATCTTCCTCGCTAACAACAGAAACTGTTGGCTGCGACCTCCAATACCTCTTGTCGTCAAAATTCGCCAACCGATTTCAATAATAAGGTAAGTCTAGTTATTGTAAATGCTTACAAATCGGCACAGTAAAAGCAAAATAGCTTTTTAGAGAAGAACTTCTTTGATCTTTCGTTATTAATGTTGGATCAGGGGACACCTTTAGCTTTGTGTTTCAATGCTGTGTCTGTTTAAGTTTTGATTTTAGGGGATGCCTTGTGTCCTACTTTTAGGTTTGGTCTTTAGATCTGAAAATTACAAAAATACATCTTCTCAAAACTTCAAAATTTTACATGATCTAATTTTGCTCAACCTCCGAAATAACATTCCTAAATTATCGCCCAACAAAATAATTTTAACTGAGAGCCCATTACTCCATCAAAGAAATTATTTTCACAACAGGAACTCGAAGATGAAGACGCTTCTATTTCTTTTCTTTCTGTTCCTGGCAACTTTCCGATCTGCTACTGCTAGATGCTCGTGAGTACATAAATAGGATTCAAAACTGTATGTTTATTCCGGGGGAGATCCAATATGACGCCTTCTCATTCATATGACGAACCACGGCATTTCGTCCGGTTACCAGTCCATGCCGGTTATGGGATTAGTTTAGCCAGTTATTTTGTTTTAGATGCATAGACTTGCTGGTGGATGAACGGTGACCGTACATTTGAACCCATGTACATTTGAACCTATGCGTATATCCACGGGTTCAATCTATATGCGGGTGCTAAAACCCATGGGTTAGGGTTAGTATGGGTTTAACTATCCGTGAAACAAAAAAAATCCATAGGTGCAATAGCATACAGGTGCAATTGTCATGGGTTCAAATGTACGTGGGTTCAAATGTAATGGAACCGGATAAACCACTTTACGGTGGGTGAGAAGTGCAGCAGTCTACTTGCACATGATTATTCTTCGCGGGATTCGAACCTGCGAACCCACGAATGGTGCCGGGCGTATTACTAACCCTTGGCACGACGCGCCACACCGATCTGATTAAAATACGTTGAATAAACTTTTATCAGTGCTCTTTTACATTTTTGGTTAAGATTTCTAGCTGTGAGTGAATTTATATATTAACTGTATATCTTAACAAAACTGAATATTAAAAAAATTATACAGGAACTGAATCATTTTTAAAAATTTTATGGGGTCTTACAGCTTTTTTTTATAATGTATTGACAAACTTTTGAAATTGTAACGTTTCTTCTAATTCTTTTTTTAGGAGTTATGACTGCAAGGAAAAGTCCGTTGAAATAATTGGTAAGACAATAATTAGACACACGATCATATATATTTCGCGGCTGTTACGTTCAGTGGTTTCAAGCCTGGCGGAATACGACAATATAAAGACTTATCGATATAAATAGAACTTTCATGGCACTCTACATGACACTATTTCTTTTTTCATTAGATAATATTATTTTCCTATCCAAACTGGACTTACATAGGATATCGTTAAGATGCCTTGTCGAACAGGGCATCAAATGACCTAATTATTTTCAATTTGTGGCTTGTTTAAAATGACTATCATAACATTGCCTACTGGTTATGAGTGCGACTTACCTTCATATTCTCAATGAAGCTATGATGATATAATGTTTTCCAAATGGGACACCAAAATTATACCGTACCGTCCAGCAAACAGGTCGCAGTTATTACCATTTCATGGCAGCTCCCGCCACGAACGAACCGCGCGTCTCTTTCCGTGGTTTTATGGCGCTATTATCGGTATATTCACAAAGTCATGTACCAGATTTTAGTTTATCATGCGGAATTATATCTACTTAACCTGAAACTTGACCCCAAATCTATCAAAACTGTATCCACAAGGAAAATGTTCCAATTTACCCAACATTTGTCATCATCAGGCAGCCCTGGCATACAGCCAACATGCCTTGGTTTGTGGCAGCAAAATTCTACCCGCCATTGGTTTTCAATTTGCTGCTGTGATCCCCGTCTCGCGCCATTGGTTTGTGGCAGCTAAGAAGTCAGCCCGCATGGTTTGACCAAAGCGGCCGTGGTTTGGAAATCCCGCCACGGTTTTGCGGCAGCTTCAGACGTCACAAAATACTTAAAACTGCGCTTTTACAAACCGAATACTTAACAGAACTTCACGCTTCATTTATTTATCAAAGGCGATGCCAGTTTTAATAAAAACAATGCAAGCGGTTTTGACTCATGTTATAAAAAACATCATTTTTAGTATTTTAAATTTTTTTCCAATAATTTCAGAGCCTCGTGAAGAAGATGCAAACGTTATCGAAGTCCCGAAATTCGAAGAAAACGTTCAATCTATCCACAATTTCCTCTGGATGATGACGCTTTTATACAACATCCCAGGCAAAAATTCATATTGAAACCAAAACTTAAGAATAATCTTGACGACCGCGTTATACTGGCAATTCCTGAATTTGGAATAGAAGATTTTGATTATAACTTTAAATAAATTTTGAAAATATTTATTGATAGTTATTGCAGGAAAAATCATTTTGGAATCTCGCGAAATAGTTGATGAACGGAATGTGTAGACTTTCTGGTTTTAATGATTTACATGTTTAGTTTATTGGGGTAAATTTTCATCTGATTTATGTTGATTTTATTGAACTAAACTTTACTATTATTTCGTTTTGTATTTTTGTGTTCTATGTAGTGACTTTTCCATGTTCTGAGTTTCTTTTTTTATGAAATAAATTTCAATATTTGCTACTAATGTGCAGTATGTCTTGCAGTCGTATTTTACGCTCAAGTAGTTTCATTCACACAGTCCGAATTGTTACTATTCGCGGTATTTATGTAATTGTTACTCATCTCTGCGAAAACCTAAATGCTATGGTCATATTAGTTGATCACCCTTGTCATTGCAAATAGGTATTTGAGTTAAAAAGGTGAAAAGCGCCAGAACCAACGGTCTGTGTGTCCTTCCTTAATTTCCTTTCGAATAGAAGATTTGTTCTCGTCAAAGCATTGAAACACAATTGTAAATTCGTCGAAGCAAGAATAGTCTGGTGGGTCCTCTAAAGAGGATAATGAGAAAATTTTAGTGTGATAATCTGCAAGAAATTTATGATATAAAAATTATTCCAGCAAAGGTAGAAAATCACTGTATTATACAAATGCTCAATCATATCATATATTAGGTACGAAAGATATTTCTAAATTATTTAAATTATCGGGTCTCGGATAACATGTGACTAGATTTTACTCGGACACGATGTTCTACGTTTTATCAAAATTGAGTAATCAATCACTAGGATCGAAAGTGAGACTAGGTCGAGTGTTTTTAACAAGGAAGAATGATATTACTTCATTTTGCCTTTCGTGTCCATATTTATGAGCATTGCTCTCGTTTCTTTTTCATTTGTTAGAATTGTGTGTATAGGCAAAACCTGGAATGACCGGTAACTAGACACCATCTCCCTTGCTATTTTAAAATGCATCGTTACTTATTCGATCTGGGTTCGATAAATGTTTGGGAACTTCAATCCGTTCTTTTGGCATGGCATAGGTCTTTTATTGATTGAGATTTATTTATTGAGTTAAATCATTGTGAAATTATTCGATTACTTGCAAAAATGTGAATCTAATGAATTGGTAACTACTACCCTGGATTGGTACTTTACAATGGATGCTTCCCCGACCTTTGACCCCAAGACAGTTCTCCGGATACATTACTATTGCAAAAAGTGTTAGACTTATTTTGAGAGCGCGTTGGCACTAATAAACTGGCTTACATGTTAAAACTATCATTTTGACGTGCCGCCTACAAGTATTGATAGCTAAGTTTATGCTAGTCTATCGCTGCATCCGGCGAATGCGGGAAATTTTTTGAATATCACAACTAAACTAAAGCTCCTCGGAAGACATAATGACAATTTAGTTATTTGATTCACAGCTATATTTTGAGAACAAAACTGAAAATTAGCCGACAGAATCATGAAAACAAGGAAATGTTTACATCAATGCTTGAATATTTGTTTGAACGAAAGAAGTGTCTGAGAGGCTGCACGAATTGAAATTATCACGTCATTGTATCACGTATTGCTGATTAGTCATTTTCACAGAAATAAACTATGAAAAACATGCACTATTGAGCGTTTGCTCACTTCAAAGAGAAATCCGAATCCGGTGCGAATAGGCTTGCACGTAATTGACAAAAATCAATTCCGTAATTACGGCAAAATCAATTACGTAATGACCCCGTAATTGCGATATTTTTCCATGCATTTAAACCTATCATAACAACCAATTGAATCCACTTCTTTTCCGAATGGGACATTGAAGTTGGGTTTTCATATTCTTGGCAGTACTACACGCCGTCGGCAGATGTTAAAGGCAAATATCGAGGAGTGAATTCAAATTAATTTTATTCTGATTTTTATCTTTTGTGTTAGCTTTGGTTTTCCTTTATCACCTTCGCAAATTAACCGTCCCATTTTTATGCGATCAATTTTATTTTATTATTACTGACACTGGTATACGGATATTTATGGAAACGATAGTTTTTTAAAACCACCTTAGTGCTGAATAAAAATTACGGGTTTCTAATTTATTAACTAACGACGAGCGTATTCTCTCGTTTGATTATACTTGCGATTTCCTCGCGACGAAGACTTGTTTTTGCAGCGTCTTCTGCATTATCCGATATTACTGCCTTGTTAGCATTTTATAATAATAATTATTGATGTCGACTTATTGACGATATTCCGATTACCATGCTTCATTTTACATTCAATCATTTCGCGGACTGAATGTTTATAACATTATTTGCGATAAATTTAAGATCAAATATTATTTATTTGAGTATAATTTAAATATGGAACTTATATGATATGCCTTCTCCGAAAACACAAAGTTATATCGCAAAACAATGCATTTTGTGACATTTATTTTACACTCACGACATTTATTTGCTAACTCAAGTCGTCGATCCTATCGGCCAAGATTGACACAAGTTTGGTCGAGTGCCGGTGGTATTCAAGTCGACGATAAATCAAATTAAGTTGCCGCATTTGGTAAGACAGTTAATCATATATGGCCGAAATATTGAGAGGAATTGTGAAAAACATCATGAGCAAGGCCAAGTCCGGACAGATATATAACGATAAAACCGTTAACAGAACATCAAGATTTTGTAATAGAAAATGGATCTCGCACAGAATAAACACACTGGCTCATATTTGATTATATATGATCCGTCGTTTTGCTGTTTCTCTGCCGTCTCAATCGCTTTACCGATGCCGAGAAGACGAAGTTGCGTTGGTTCATTACGCAATCTCTCTTTTGTCGTCATATTGCTATTTGATAAGCGCGACATTAATTATCACGGCGAGGTATTGGCGCAAGTGATCAATCGCTCTTTTCGCTTATTCGGTTCCAATTCGTCGCGAAAGCTCTTCGTTAAATTTCACAAGATCGTCGTGCTGAAATGTAATGGATATTTTCCTGTTTATACCCCAAGTCTGAAATAAAACAGCCAAAAACAGTATGATATTCCATGTTCATATATCAAGTGTTCATATTAACAATAAAGAATGGTTAAGCATTGCTAATCCACACTTGGTGGGGAATTCCCACTATTTAAACGCGTGACTATAAAATAGAAACGGAACATATATATTATATACCATAAGTAACGGAAAACTGGAACAAGTAAATAATAAATAAAAGTAAAATGGATACAAATGTTTGATAGACCATGTTTGAAAGATTGATCTCCTGCGTTCATTAGTCATTTCACACGAAGAAGTTGAAACCGGGCGTGTTAACGTCCATCAGTCTTAACACAATTTTTCCCCCTATCTACGGTTATTATGTACATTGGCCACGGCCATGCTAGATAAGAAGCGAGAGAAGTTGAAACCAGGTGTGTTGGCGTCAATAGGTCTCAACGCAATTCTATCCCTTATCTACGGTTAAGTTACGGGAGAAGTTAAAACCAGGTGTGTTGGCGTCAAACGGCCCTACTCAGTTCTTCCCCCTTAACTACGTTAATAATTTACATTGGCCATGCCAGAGAAGTTGATAATAGGTTAGTAAATGGCAACGCGTCAGGCCCTCCTTCACCTACGTAACAAGAGAGAGAAAAACGGCTGCGAATACCGGAACTCTCTTCTACTTGTTGAGCTTTCATTTTTCGCAATCGACGAAATTGACTGCTTTGAAGAAAGCTCGTTTCAATGCAATAATTACGACTTTACGTAATTCGTAATTTCCCTTCCGTAACTCCAAATAATTACGTAATTCCGTAAATCCGTAAATTACGTGCAAGCCTAGGTGCGAACACTACCTAAAAAGTGAGATGCTACAGAAGCCAAACCAGGGAGGATGTTTTGGGGTAGGGTTGGAAATACAAACATTTCACTGTGGATTCGGCGTAGTTTTAATGATACTGTTTTGGTATTTAGTGTTTTTGCAATAAATAATTGTGGACACATTATAAAGTATTCGAAATATGCACAAAAAGCCAGAGAGCACAGTGCCCGCGCAACACTAGTTATAGATAAGAATCCTTTATCGATTGAACAAACGATGGAATCATAGTTATTGTGTGTAGTGATGGAGGAATAAAAATCCGAAGTAGGGAAAGGGAGGTATTTATTGAAAAAGGTTGGGAACCACCGGACTACAGTTTAGTAAAATTGATGACGCAGAATAATTTCCAACAGATTTCCAACAATTTACAAATATAACACCGCTGTACAGTTCGTGTATACAGGTGGAAGTAGATTTTTTCTATAAATATTCAACAATGATAAAAAAAACACCGATATGGGCCTTTCCAGTTTATTGTGAACGATTCAACTTTATTTTATTTCTACAATATTGTATTGTAGCATCTGGCTGTTTTTAACATTTTTGCAATATTGTAAATAATGTGGATAATACCCACCGGGAAGTCATTTAGAATCGACTATTATTGATTGACTCGTAATTTAAATTTTTTAAAAGTTACCCTAAGCTAAGTCATGCTCACTCATTCTAATGGAAACCTAGATTAGAGCAAATATTACATTTTTGCAATCCTTTAATATGAGAATACTACCCCATGACTACTATCAATTGATTTTACATCGAATTTTTGGTACTAACGAAGTATGTAAACCAAGATGGCTGACATCGGAACGTAGTATATGCGTACCAGGTTAGAGTCATGCAATAATTTTATTCTAATTTTGGTTATATTACAAGTTCGGGGACTAGCCAATTGACTCCCGTAGTATTTGTACCTGAAATTATGACCTAACCCTAACCTGGTACACATACTACGGGAGTATCGAGTAATTTGTTCAAGGCAACGTCATTGTCACTCATTAGAATGGAAAGGTAGCTTTAAATTGATTTTTTTTAATATTTGCCTAAAGCAAAGTCATGCTCACTCAGAGTAAATGAAACATAGTTGAGAGCAAATTTACATTTTCACAATACTGTAAATTGACAATAATATCAAATCAAAATTCGTCATGAAATAGACTAACATCTAGATTTCAATTTTTTCTCAAACTTTTCCAAAGTAAACTTATGCTCAATCATTTCTAAACAAAGATAGACGAGGACCAATTTTACCTTTGTACATTTTCACAATATCATAATCTGAAAAATTACCAACTGGAAGTTATTTAGATATAGAATACTTTTATTGATTGAACTCAACTCAAATTTGCTTTAAAATTAACTAGGGCAAAGGACTGCTTACTCATTTTAAAAGAAACATAGCCTTGAGTAAAGTCGCGAGAAAGAAATACCATTGCGAGAGCAATCGAAACGATTTATAATTTGTAATACTCCCAGTTGAATTTCATTTTTGTTTTAAATATTAGTATATTATTTATATAAAATTGAATCAATCTTAAAATTATTTAATTTTACATCTCATTAACGCTTCCATCACGTGGACCAATAACGTAGTCATTTTTTCTAGCCCGTTTTTGTGACGTATTGTCTTTGACGTCATTTGGTCTCTCAGTTCCCATGACGTCAGTTTCTTCTTCTTCATCAAATTCAATACATTCGTAATCATGCAACTTCTTTGTTACGTCATGTTCCACTAGATGTTGATGACGTAGTTGATGTAGTGACGTCATCGTTCCTGGATATTTTGCTCTATTCTTGGTAGAATATGGCCCCCCAAACTGATCGCACAAATGGTCGTAATCGTCCTCGTTTGAAACCGAAGTCTCTGGTTCGCTTGCTTGATGTGACTCCTCCATACCTATAGTGTTGTAAAAAGGTTGATTTGCGCTCGCCAGCGACGTACGTCCTTCATTACTTCTTATGTTTTCTCCACATGAGCCAAGATGGGAACGTTTGCTACTTTCCATCGATGTAGCTGATTTTGGTCCGCTTTGTTCATCTTCATCAGCCGAACGATGGACGCAAGCATTTGTTGTGACCGCGTACAACACATTATCGACCATTTTTACTTCGATATTTTCCTCATCCTCACTAAGTGAAGGTTTACTTCGTAATCGCGTCATTCGGATTCCTTCCCGCTCTTTTTCCGCTTGAATGCGTTTGAATGTTTTCTTTTCGCCAAGGTGACCACGAGGAGCGTTTTGGTCAGATGAGTCAACTCCAGAATCAAAGCACCGTGTAACGCTCCAATATTCATTTTCTGCTGCAGAATCTCCGTTGAAATTTTCGCAGCACGAGTTTGCATCGCAGTCATGTACGCAATAGGCCTCACTAGCTGGGTCGTTCCTGAAAATAGGGTAAAAAATTATCAAGTTAGGTACGTAGAGGATTTCCACTATTATATACTGTCATACAATTCGGTGTTGCGGACTAATTTCACCCCAATAGCAAGTTAGTCTAACATAAGGTTGCCATACCGTCCGGAAAATTCCGGACATGTCCGGAATTAAGAGTTAAATTTTGCGTCCGGAAAGAATTTAAAAAATGCTCAAATGTCCGGAATCCGGAATTTTACTGCATCTGCAATCGTACTGTGCACACTGCTAATACAGAACATCGTTATTTCGTACCGTGCGCATATTTTTTACTACGAGGTCGTGTAAATAGTCATGCACTGTCCGGAATTTAGCTTTTTCAAATATGCGCACCAGGTTATAAGTCGAAAGTGATTTGGAGTGTAGGCAATAAAGCACAACCTGTTCCATACATTAGGCGCACCGGCTTATAAATGCATGATCGATTTTGAGATAGAAAAAAGAACTTGAAGCGCTACTTATGGTCCGTGTAATGCGGTATACCAAACATTTCTGATCTTAGACTATCATTTAGCCCGTGTATAGCTAAAGATGTTTGAAATTATGTACGCCTGAGTGTATTTTCACGTAAAGTCTTGGTATAAACAAAATTAAAGGAAAATTTGTAGCTGGAAGAAAAAACGATTAAGTACTTTGTATGTGGCGTATTGTTTGCGTGTTCAAGGATTTATTCGGATATATGTATTTTAATGTTGATGTCTTCACATACCTTGAAGTTGAAACTTTATTTGTTCCTGGACCGCAACCGCGCTTTTGTCTCATCTGCCAGTTTGTTCCGCTTTCACTTCCTGTTCCGCGAGGGCGACATGTGACCCTTCCACTGACGCTTTCAGCTCGTGGTTGAGATTTTGTATTGAAGTTGCTGTGGTCGCTTTCCATCGGATTAAGACTTGCGCTCCGGCCCGTTCCACGTTTGAACACGGAGCCATCATTACCCATTGGGTGAGGCGATTGGTTCAAAGGAATGGGGGGTAACGGCTGGAGGGAACATGAATTTGGGGGCACGCTAGTAGGTGGGGTCGATGACGTCGACAGAAGTGAAGAAGCGGACGGTTCCCTTGATCCCATATTGGTAGCAACCACTGATCTACTTCCAAGTTCTCGCATTTGTATTCTTGTCCGCGGAGAGTTCTGGTGAGTGTGATTTGAAGTATGTCCTACTCCATTGAGATTGGTGGCCAGAATATGCGGATGCTGCTTGTTTTTCCCTTTTGTACCGTGACCTACAGGACTGGTCATGCTTTTACAGCTACCCCTGCTACTTAACGCATCGCCGGTAAGTTTAACGCCGTTGAGTGTAGTCTCGCTTCGACCAAACGTTCCTGAACCATGTCTTAGTCCAAGTACATGTGAAAATCCTTGAACTAAACCGCTTGGTATGGATCCCATTGTACCAGCGGAGAACGACGGCGATGTGACGTCATAGCGAGTTCGTCTGTTCTTCTGCATCATTCGTATTCCGCAAATGCCAATGAGAACGATTAGCAGTAGCACAATGAAGACGAGAAGTCCTGGAATAAATTTGTTGATATTTTATTACTCAATTCGCGAATTTTAGAAATATACATACACATCGATGAACATGGCCAATTAATTCCTCGATATAATTGGACACGTTGTGGACATAACGATCGTTTCAAAATTTTGTTGTTATTGTTATTATTTGTCTCCGTCAACACGTTTTGAAGGATTCGCTTTTCTCTTCGAATACTGGACCAATTGCTTTGAAATTTCCAGTGGTTAAAGATAAAAATTTTCTCCAGAAGGCTATTACTTTATTTTTTGCTATGACGTCATCAAAATTAGGTGACTCTACGTATCCATATATTTGAGCATAGCTCTCTTGTTCAATTGCAGTTAATTTACCCACAAAATTCAACTTTCCTATATATTTTCCTAACCTTATTAGCAATAGAAAAACCAGTACAACATGCTCCGCCCTCATGTCTCACCCAATGTGTACCACAGGTGTATTCATTGTATGGATCTCACTTCGTAAGAATACTCTAACTTTCTTCAATAGCAGTGGTTCTCAAAGGGTGGGGCGCGCCCCACAGGGGGGCCTAGACAATTTTTTGAGGGGGCGTGAAGCTAATTAAAAGTGAAATTTTTGTTAGGTTTAATGTTGCCCGCCATAATCTGGATATTTACATTTCAAAACTTTTCATTCAATTTATTATTTACGAGTTCCACGCATTTTTAATGTGGTTATTTTATTTTTTGAATAAAACATACTTTCGCCGTACTATCTGTTATTTGTAGCTTATTGTTAGCTAGTTATTTTTAAGGTGGGCGCGAGACTTGACAAATTCTAAAACGAGGGCACTGCTTAAAATATTTGAGAACCGCTGTTCTAAGATCTACGTTCTATGTAAAGTGGATGGGGCATGGCATTATGGAGACATCGTTAGATTACATATATTCTATTTAGGATTTTTACCTGCGATAAGAGCTGGAGCATAATCCTTTAATACTGAAGTGAACCCATCATCAGCGATTCTTGTGTGATTTCTATTTCTTCGTGTTTTTGGATCGGAGTGTCTTGTCAACGTTACCTCCAATCCTGAAGAGACTGTGTCAAAAGCTTCAGTCGTAGTTGTTTCCATAGGAGATATTTTTTCGGTAGAAAATTGCTGAAATTTAATTTAAAAGATATAAAAGTAAGTTGAGGCTTGTAACGCAAGTTTCAGTTCAACGCATTCAGTTATTATAGAAGATTATATAATACATCAGTTGACGATCTATGTATATGTATATCTATTTGTATATTTGCCGGGGGAGAGAAAGTCGATAATATTGCCTAATCATATAACAGGACCCAGGTCTCTGGTCTGGTTACCAGTTCAATCCGGGTATGGGATTATCGAGCCCTTATATGTTTTGAATGCAAGTACCTGATGGAGGAAGAAGGCATGGATGACCAGCAAACCACCCTACGGCGGTGAAGAGTCCAGCAATCCTCTTTCACATAATTATCCTCAACAGAATTCGTACCTGTGAACTCAGTCAGGGTAATCAGAGATTCGGTGGAGAGAGTATTCTTAACGCTTAGCACGATACTCCAACCGCTAGCAGTGGAGTGGGATTGTGGGAAGTCTTGTGTGTTTACTGTTTTGAAGTCTGAACTGGAATCGTACATGTATTTGGATTTTGAAATAGAAATTCAACCGAAGCAGAAAGATTTTTTCGAAATTCCGCAGTTTTAGGCTGTAGTCGGAGTCGCAACTTTTCGCAACCTGGAGCTCGATTTCTGAGTGTTTCAAAAATGTCATATCCCACACTTGTCTCTCTGTCCTCAGTTAGGGTATAAACATTTAGCTGTATTGTGTTGTAAAAGACTTGAGTATGCATGTGAAGTGGGATTTCTGTTATATTTTGAGTTAGGGTAGATAAGAAACTTGTGGCAAATTTTACAGTAAAAATTAGGAGTCGAATTCACTGTATGTTCCTGGTTAGAAAAGATATAATACATTGGCAGGTTAGAGTTATCATATGAAGCGGAATTCAAGCTATGTTTTTAGATAGGATGGTGTAGTTCATTTTTCAGATGGTCAGAGTAATTGTATGAAGTGGTATTCATGCTATGTTCTGAATTAGGACATTTTCTTTCTAATTCTTTCCAGAACAAGTAGGGCAAGGCTTCTTTGAGACACTTAGAGACGAGTGAAAATGTGTCCACGGCGCATTACAGATTTATTTTGTTGTACTCGCAAACGCCAACATCATGTTTAGCAAAAGGTTCTTTGCTCTGCTGATTGAAACGCGATGTAATTCTTAATGTATTAAGAGCAATTAAGGAAACAATTCATGGAGCGGGGCACTAAAATACTCCGTATGACGCACGATTTGTCTTGGTAACCTCAATGAAATTGCGACGTAAACAAAACTTGTTAAAAACGACGCCTATTTGCTAGCAGACTTGAGTCATTGGAACCCGACTGTTGTGAGCTATCAATGGGTGTAAACATTTTCGAATGTCTGATGATTTCAGAATCAAATCACATAAGGTTTCTTTGAATCCAATCTCGAATACTTGGAAGAGATGTGATTGTATGCGACTTTTTTTTATTATAATGGGTCTTTCCGGCACATGAATTACTATAAACACATGAAGTACACATTACCGGTCACAAAATTGAGTTTTATTCAAAAGAATTTTTTTTTGTTGAGATTTTTTACTGATAAATTGGTACCGTACGAACAAATGATTTTGGAACTGCTGGTATAATGACAAATACAATTGAGTAGATAATATTAAGAAGGCCCTTGGACACTTGGACACAAGTGTCTACAAAGATACAATTGATGATAACTTTATGGCAATTTCTTACCGAATATACAATCATAAATTATTTCACATCAAACACAAGATTTAGAAAATTTGCTGGTTGGTTCATTAGCATAATTGAATTGAATAATTACAATTTTAACAACTTATGAAAGTTCAGTTGCACTAGTCAAAAATTAGTCTCGAAATAGCTGCGAAAGATTAGCCTAAAATTAGTGATCTGTATATTTTAATGACAGATACTTGAATATCCCGAATCACAATTATGGTTTTAAGCATGTAAATCAGTTTATAAGTACTATTCGGTGACAACGCTATCAAAATAAACATCGAAAAATTTCCCATGAAAAAGTATAGGGTCAAGAAGGGTATAAGGAAAACGGCTATTGCATCTATTATAAAGAGAAGCAAAGATGAGAAGAGCAAATCAATGGCTTGTATCCTAACTCTTATATTGAGCATTTAAACTTTTAGTTGGTGGTCTGGACATCGTCTTGAGCAAACATGCGAAAGCCTATAAATTTGATTTTAATTAAATATTATCCATTACCAATAAGCAACAACTGACTTAAACTCACCTCTCCATGGCTTGAATTGCTTATTGAATCATTATCTTGAATTTTGTCATCCGAATTGTCCTCCACACACTCAATGTTAAATTGCGTACTTGTTTCCGGCGGTAACGTAGGCTGACCTTGATCTGCGGTTCGATATGTGACGTCACATTTCCTGTACTCCGTAGAATTGCCTTCGCATTTTGGTGGATTTGATTGTAAATTCGACTTACATTGTCGCGTGCGATATTCACTATTCCCTTCTTGGAGAGCCTTCAAAGTTTGTGGCGCAATTTTTAACGATTTCTTAATACCAATGGAATCGTTCAAAGGGGAAAAAGTCGAGAAAAATGCTTGTAATAATGTTGAATTAAAGATTGGTGCTTCAGTGGTGCTAGCTGCCAAATTGATTTCTCTTCTTTGTCTTAGTAATCTACATTTTGTCCCGTTATTGTATGAAGTAGATGTTCTGATCGTTTCACCATTCGAGCAACCCTTCCACGGTCCCCATTGCGACCATTCTGGACATTGTACATCACGGTTACATGGTTCAGATTTGGTATTTGTCCCGCCAAAATATGCTTTGCAATACGACACGGAAATTCGGTTCCACGTTACGCGTTCGCCGTAGAGTCCTGAAACATATTAAAGGCTAAATTGAGAAAATATTTTGCATAAAAATAAATTGTGGTTCAACCAAGCGACGATTTTAAACTTGGAAAAGTATTCCGCAACGACACATCGTTTCGTTTTATCCACACTACTATAAATACAAATATTCCTTTGATTAAATTAGTGGTTCGCAATCTTTTTGAGCCGCGCATCTTTTTCAGATTTTGCTCGCACCCCACTCAAAAAATACCTAGCTAACAAAAGACTACAAATAACAGATAGTAACGCAAAAGTTTTATTCGAAAAACACGTTGAAAATACGTGGATGGAATCGCAATCTCTAAACAATAAAGAAATGTCAATATTCAAACTAAAGTTCAAATCTAAGAAATATTTTTATTTTAGCTTCCCGCTCCCTCAAAAATAGCCCACTTGTGGGCGCGCCCACCGTATGAGAACCACTGCTATAAATACAAATATTCGTTCAATTACAATCGCTGAAACGACTTTCAGTTTGCTACGATAGAATTGGTTGCGTGATATACAAATAAAGCCAAATATAGCCAATACCTTGCATTTCGTTTAAAACGAAACATTTGGGTTAAACCATTTGGAACGAATTCTACGGGAACATAGCTATGGTGCGAAGCATTGCTAAAACCTTTGTGTACAATCAAACACATACAGAACTTTTTAAATAAACATTTTGGCGCTTCAGAAGTATGTGTACCAATATGGAGGTAACTTATTTTGTTCGTCTATTTAACATTAAGTTGTGTAAAGGGACTGAAACCTATGGGCAGGGGGTATATTCACTTGGCTTGACAGTCCCGGGCTTGTGATAGAACTAAAATAAGGAAAATCGGAATAAAATTATGGCCTAACCTTAACCTGGTACACATGCTACGAGAGTACCAAAATTTTCGTAGTAATAATTGAGAAATTTATGGGTTCTATTTTTGGGGTCATGCTGTTATTATAAAAATACTATTGAAATAGAAGTATGCAAATAAATTAATACCTGTCCTATCTTTTATGTGACACGACCGTGTGTATGTAATGAAACCCGACGACCCACACGTTGACGTACATTGCGTTATAGCAGTCCAGTTTCCCCAACGAAAGCAGTCTGAGCACGGAGAAAGTTCTGCCCGACAGAAAGGCCAAAAACGTCCTCTAAGTTTGTGAAATCTGGCATCGCTAGTCCGTTTTCCAAATCGATACGACTCGGATACCATTCCATCGTAACAAACTCGAAATTGAGCACGTTGACGCATTACGTCAATTCTTATGTATCTTTGACCCAGTGCGTAAGCGTCACGCACGCACGCGTCTTTACACGTTTGCTCGCCTATTTCAGCGCGAGGAACGTCATCACATTGCTGACTAGGAAGATAGTATCTGAAAATGAAGTCAGAGGTATTTTGATTGCCACTTGAGTAAAAAAAAATTAACACAAAGTCTCTGTGTTAATATTGAAACGACAGAAGTTGTGAAGGACGTATTGCTCCGTCATCGGATTTACAACCAACCCCCTTTGATAAACCAAAAAAAAAACGTTTTGGGGGTTTTCAACCTGGCCCGGGTTGGTAAACGAAATGTAACGGTTCAATCAAAATTATAATCGTACATTTCGTTATATCATAGTCAGGGGCGATATTCAATGAACATAAAGGGTCGGATTTATAGACTGCTTGGGGCCCGGTCAGACAAAATACACTGATTTAACAGACGGAAAAATTTTAGAAGCCTAACAGCCGGTGGTGGGATTCAGGGGGTCACACGGGTTCGTCGTGATAATCAGCGAATCCGATCTTGTTTTATGAACGATAAGTTCCGAATTCTTTTTTTCTGAAATGAGAAAACTGCGTTTAGTGAGTTTGTGTTCTTAAAACTTTGACTCCCGTCACATATTACAACTATCTTTTGCATAAATATTGATATCTGTTCTAAACCAATGGAAACTTTGTAATACGTCTTTAAAATGAGGCCTGTTTTTGTAAAATAGGCGGCTAATAATTTCAAACACGCTTTTGCATAGTGCTGAAATAAATATTTTATTGCGTCTATGCCACCAACTCATATGACTTCCTTACAGCGCTTGTTGAGTTAGTGGTATCTTTCGATTTATTTTTTAATGGGTGATTTTAGCCACGCGTTACAAATTTATATTAAAAAGTCGGTGCTCCAGAAGTATGTGTACCAATATGAATGTAACTAATTTTGTTCGCCTACATTACATCAAGTTGTGTAAAGGCACGGAAGCCTATGGGCAGGAGATATATTCATTTGGCTAACACAAACAGTCCCCGAACTCATAATAGAACTGAAATAAGAAAAATCGGAACAAAATTATGGCCTAACCCTAACCTGGTACACATACTACGGGAGTACCAAAAAGTCATTCTAATGTAATCCATTCTCCATACAACACTCTTGCTGTACACCTCGTTATTTTGTATTTTCTTCGTTCACAATATATTAAAATCCTTGCAGTAGCAGCTCACAATAATAGAGACAGATACATGAATCCCTACATAGACACTACATGTCATAAATCACAGAACCACAAAACATGAAAGTACATCCGGTTAGCAGTGCTAACACAGATTATCCGAGAAATGGTTGAACAAGATGAACGATATATTATACATTATACGATTATAATTGCGTGACAACTATTTTTTTTAAACAAGTTGCTCAAAGAAAGATAACGCACACTCACTGGCAATCTGAGCGAAGTGACGAGCGATTACTGAAATACCTGCTGAGAATATTAGAAATTACTATCAAATTCACTAAGTGTTTTATATTCTTCTGGCGTATTCTGCCAGATTATCACGTTAAAGTTATCAAACGCACTCTGGCATAGACTTTCAGGGGCGCTCCAGAAATATGTGTTTCAATATGGAGGAAACTAATTTAACTCGCCTACATCGAGTTGTTTGAAAGCACGGAAGCCTATAGGCGGGGGATATATTCACATGGCTAATAGGCTTGCACGTAATTTACGGAATTACGTAATTATTTGGAGTTACGGAAGGGAAGTTACGAATTACGTAAAGTCGTAATTACTGCATTGAAACGAGCTTTCTTCAAAGCAGTCAATTTCGTCGATTGCGAAAAATGAAAGCTCAACAAGTAGAAGAGAGTTCCGGTATTCGCAGCCGTTTTTCTCTCTCTTGTTACGTAGTGAAGGAAGGCATGACGCGTTGCCATTTACTAACCTATTATCAACTTCTCTGGCATGGCCAATGTAAATTATTAACGTAGTTAAGGGGGAAGAACTGAGTAGGGCCGTTTGACGCCAACACACCTGGTTTTAACTCCCGTAACTTAACCGTAGACAGGGGGGAGAACTGTGTTAAGACCGATGGACGCACACACGCCCGGTTTCAACTTCTTCGGGTGAAATGACTAATGAACGCAGGAGATCAATCTTTCAAACATGGTCTATCAAACATTTGTATTCATTTTACTTTTATTTATTATTTACTTGTTCCAGATTTCCGTTACTTATGGTATATAATATATATGTTCCGTTTCTATTTTATAGTCACGCGTTTAAATAGTGGGAATTCCCCATCAAGTGTGGATTAGCAATGCTTAACCATTCTTTATTGTTAATATCAACACTTGATATATGAACATGAAATATCATACTGTTTTTGGCTGTTTTATTTCAGACTTGGGGTATAAACAGGAAAATATCCATAACCTTTCAACACAACGATCTTATGAAATTTAACGAAGAGCTTTCGCGACGAATTGGAACCAAATAAGCGAAAAGAGCGATTGATCACTCGCACCAATACCTCGCCGTGATAATTAATGTCGCGCACATCAAATAGCAATATGATGACAAAAGAGAGATTGCGTAATGAACCAACGCAACTTCGTCTTCTCGGCATCGGTAAAGCGATTGAGACGACAGAGAAACAGCAAAACGACGGATTCCTCACGGACCGCTAAAAATTTAACTGCTATCATATATAATCAAATATGAGCCAGGTTGTTTATTCTGTGCGAGATCCATTTTATATTACAAAATCTTGATGTTTTCTGTTAACGGTTTTATCGTTATTTATCAGTCCGGACTTGGCCCTGCTCATGATGTTTTTCACAATTCCTCTCAATATTTCGGCCATATATGATTAACTGTCTTACCAAATGCGGCAACTTATTTTGATTTATCGTCGACTTGAATACCACCGGCACTCGACCAAACTTGTGTCAATCTTGGCCGATAGGATCGCCGACTTGAGTTAGCAAATAAATGTCATGAGTGTAAAATAAATGTCACAAAATGCATTGTTTTGCGATATAACTTTGTATTTTCGGAGAAGGCATATCATATAAGTTCCATATTTAAATTATACTCAAATAAATATTATTTGATCTAAATTTATCGCAAATAATGTTATAAACATTCAGTCCGCGAAATGATTAAATGTAAAATGAAGCATGGTAATCGGAATATCGTCAATAAGTCGACATCAATAATTATTATTATAAAATGCTAACAAGGCAGTAATGTCGGATAATGCAGAAGACGCTGCAAAAACAAGTCTTCGTCGCGAGGAAATCGCAAGTATAATCAAACGAGAGAATACGCTCGTCGTTAGTTAATAAATTAGAAACCCGTAATTTTTATTCAGCACTAAGGTGGTTTTAAAAAACTATCGTTTCCATAAATATCCGTATACCAGTGTCGGTATTGATAAAATAAAATTGATCGCATAAAAATGGGACGGTTAATTTGCGAAGGTGATAAATGAAAACCAAAGCTAACACAAAAGATAAAAATCAGAATAAAATTAATTTGAATTCACTCCTTGATATTTGTCTTTAACATCTGCCGACGGCGGCGTGGATTCAATTGGTTGTTATGATAGGTTTAAATGCGTGGAAAAATATCGCAATTACGGGGTCATTACGTAATTGATTTTGCCGTAATTACGGAATTGATTTTTGTCAATTACGTGCAAGCCTAATGGCTAACACAAACAGTCCCCGAACGCGTAATAGAACTAAAATAAGGAAAATCGGAATAAAATTATGGCCTAACCTTGACACGGTACACATACTACGAGAGTACCATGTCAGGAGTGAACTTCCTTAATAACTAAGGATTGATTTTAAACTTCTTAGGCTTTTCATTGAAATACTTTGGTGAATATCCAAACTTTTGATTAAAAAACCAGTTCAAAAGCATTATTTTTTTTTATTTTTTTTTCACAAAGTTCTAATAATCACCCCCTTTGTCTTGGAGCCCTCGAATTATCAAATTAATCTCTTAACCCTTTCCGTGCGGTGGGCACGTATACGTACCCACGACAAAACTCGCTAGATCGCGGCGGGTACGTTGATGTACTTCTCTGTTTTATTTAGCAATGGGTCGCAAACTGTTGGTCTAGTTTTTCCGGGTTTTAGTTTATTGATAAGAAGTCTTCTTCGAGATTAACATGAGCGACGGTAAATCTCGCTTTCGTTTACGACGGGAATTTTATTTGCGGCGGAACGAGGGAATGTTTTTGAAATTTATGCAAATTTCGGTGTTTTTTGGGTGGCAATAGAAGACATATTATCCCTTCCATCTACCAAAATATTTTGAGTTAGATCACGAAATTGCTACAGCAATATTATGCTATTGTTTGCCAACCACGAAGCGGTAACAGTAAAGGATTTAGCGAATATTTCTATTTTTTATCACGGTTTAAAGTTTCAACTCCCAAGAAAAAAAAATGCCTTTTTTCTATCCGGTTTGTGACTCAGACCACCACTTTTAGAAAAACTTTTTTTTTTGATCGCCAATTGCAAGCTCTTTAAATAAGCTTTCCAACGAGCCGTCAGTGGGCAGCAGAGGATCATTAGTTTTTCGTTAGTCGATCGATTAGTTGTGGGGGTACAAATGCATAAAATCGGCGTAGCAAATACGATTATTTATTAAAAAATAAAAATCGCATGGAAAGGGTTAATAATCTCCGATAAGCTCGGATATTCTTACCTGAGGTTTCTTTTCTGGCATTGGTTCCCAGATGCGATCGCCCATTGCCTGACTCCAGATCTGACAGAAACAGTAGCGCAAAATATGTCTTCTTTCAAAACACCAATAAGACATTCTGATCTGACCTGAAATGCAAATTTGTAAAAATAGTTTTCAAACATTGATTATTATATTAGCCCACAAATGGCATAAATATTAGTTTGCTATACATTTGAAAGACTGGACGTGACCTTGCTTTAAGCGAATTCTCGTTAATTGGCAATTAGGCGCGTTTTGTTATTCTAGCTTAGGCCTATTTGATAACTGCGGACAGCTTAAAGCTTGAAGTTACTGTGTATTCTTAGCTTACTTTATTATTATGTTCCTATGTGTATGCGCCACTGATATGCTCGAAGTTGCATGTCAATTCATTGACGCTACTCAAAAGTCAGTGGATACAAGTTTACTCGATATTCAAAGCATTTCAAGCCAATACTGTTTTCGAAATGCCTACAAAGTCGTTATCAACAATTCTTTTCTGTATATTACGTTGAAAAAACCGGGGCTTCAACGGGAAAGAACGCAGAATAAATTGTAAAGAATCGCCTACTTACCGAGAAGGAAGACTCCCTAGAGATGAATTTTTGCATTTTTTGAGTGGGGGGAGGGGCGGAATTCTGTTTTATTAGATGTATATATTACTAAATATTTAGTTTTATTAATATTATATGTACCTATTTATGTACATATTGGGAATTAAATAAACTGTACAAAAACGGGAGTCCGTCAGCTAAGCAGCTAAGGATCTATTAAAGATTGAAGAAATAACGAAGTTTTATGCATTGGGTTGACGGGCTTCAAGATAGGCAAATGGTAGAATTTAACAAAGAGGTTCGGAACCATTGGTCGGGTGCATTAGCCTAAACTATTTGTGCAGTGATTAAATTGAATTGAAAGTATTAAATTTACCAACCCTTGTTAGTGGATTCCAGACTTGAACTTTTTTATAATCTCGTTCGCTTGCATATCTATGATGTTCAGTCGCTCCCGCTTTGCATTCAACGGAGCAATTGCGATTTAATATTGTCACTTCACCGATAGTCGAACGGTCTGGGTGAAAAATTGAATCTACAATTAACACTTCAATTGAGTAGCATGCAGTATAGCTGGGCATCTTCAATCGACCCGAATAGTGAGTTGTTCGAATCGGTTCAAAATAAAATATCGAATCGCCGCCGGGGCAAATTCCATCAACGAAGCCATGTTTTTAGATTGCAATAATGGCATATGATTTTTTTCTTTCCTAAATTATGTCTTATTATGTGAACAGACTGAGTGATGTATTCTATGTAATTCCGGCAATTTATGTGTCTGGAGGAAAGTTACAAAAACAACGCCACATACAATTACGTTCTTGATAAATTCCATTTCTTACAGTAAAAAATAATCGATTTGATTCTGAAATCAGGTATTCAAAGTTGTTCATGTTAGCAAGATTATTCTTGCTTACTGGAACATTATGACGACCGTGACAGCAATGATATAGCCTACACAGCTACATATATATATATATAGAGCTATTGAAATGCAGAAGAGGTTGACTAGAACCATTTACAATAAGGTGTGCAATCAAGTGTATTGTTTATGAATATATATATAAGGAGACAATCGGCAGAGACTACTGATCGTTTTCCACCGTCCACAGGCCGGTCGGTCACTGCAACCTTCCACACTTACGTAGTTCATGCGATAGGTTCGGGGGTAAATTATTAGGCCAGTGTGCATTCTGTACACACAGGAATCGTAAGTAAACTTAAATAAATTGCGATTTTGTACTCAATTAGAATGTAATAAAATGCGAAGAAGGATTCGTTTCATATTACGAAATGTTATTTTTCAGATATTATCCTTATTTTTACCGAGTTAGAGCTCGATAAATACGTCTCTTCCTTAGAGCTCCGCATTAGATAGGGTACCCATGTCCACGTATCTCGTGTGATTAATTAGTTTGTTTTCAATGCCTGACTTAGACTAGAAATACAACTAAAGGTAGTGATTTAACAAATTTTCAAATAGTTTTATCGACTCTACTCGTCGTATAAATATGTAAATTGTATTTTTGAAAAATTCTAAAACAATTAATGAGATTTAGCTAAAAATATGAATCCAGATTTTTTACCGAAAAAAAAAGTTTAAACAAAAATTTTAATTTATTTTCTGGATATTCTTGGACATTGAAGCTATTGTTTACAGTTCATAAAAGTATAGAAATATGATGTAACCCACCAATTCCAGAACATTCATTCAAGCATTCGTGATCTACTGGTTTTGAGTACCAAACTGGCCGGTTTACGTTATCAATATTGATAAATCCAGTATCTGCAGATATCCAAGATATGCAAAAATAATGCAGTGTAAGTAATCTAATTACGAATGCCATCTATATCAATACCCTACAAAGCCAGAAAATATTTTTTAATCAATCGCTATCTTCATTAGGATTAGGTGTTTTTAAATTTTATGCACCTTCATTGAAATTTCTATATTCTGTCTAAATATTGCACTTTCACATTAGATGCAAACACACCTTCTGGTTATGGAAAACTTGCTTTTCAAATAATTATAAACAAAAACAACAAACAATTTCGTTTACTTTTCATCTATACTTATCTTATCATCTCAAACCTATGTTTGCAAGTACGAGGTCTGTTGCAAATTAATCGTAACCAGGCCTTTAAGTAGTAATGAAAATAATGAAACGTATGTATTAAATCGTCCCTGATACGCGGGTTAATGGTTCACCATCACTGGTCTATATGTACCAGAGATCTCAGTAGCCTACATGAGAATTTTAGGTGAAAATAGCCATTGGTTGAGGGTCTATCGGTCTGCAATTTCATGACGTAGATATTTAAGCAAGCTGCTAATGAAAATTTCTTGTAAAAGTGAGAGAGTGAACCATTTATTTTCAAATATGAGCCAGTTTACTCAAGTAATATTGGTATGGAGTTTTTGCAAAACCACCATTTCCATGTCATCGCTTCTCGTGAGTCACAAGTTTATTTTATATTATGATTCTTAATCACCACTTCTACACATCATCAATAAACTGATTTTTGAGCTGTACATTTTCCTTTACTTTCTGTTCTGTATCGTGCCAACTCTCAGCAAATATTTAGGCTCGTTTGCTGAAACGGATCTTCCTACTGAAATATGACTGAACTAATGACCCAAAGTCGTCACAAGAACACCCACGTATATTTTTTCTTGTCGATTTGGCACAAAGCAAAATTTTGAAGTAATCGGAAACAATAAATTCTTCAACAAGTGCGAGGAAAAACGAGTAAAAAGAGTTTGTATGACTTGTTATGCGAATTCAAGTATCAGTAGGCCCTATACTATTTTGCAAAATTGCAATAAATATTTTCAATTAAACATACTTAGGATTTACTTATTTATATTGAGAGAGTATAAAGCCGATAGTGCGGTTTAATAATATAAATAGCCTACATAACGCCTGTCGCCCGGTTATCAGTACCTACATGTGGCCAGTGGTGAGACAAATTTTTTGTCAGCCGGTTTCTTCACAAAAGTCGTATTTTTCAGCCGGTCCTGTTACAAGCATAAAGTGGATGTTACAATAAGAGCATTGACAGTAACCAGTAATGTTAACCGGTTCGCTGGTCTCATAAAATTCCGTGAGACGGTTCTATAGAACCGATGCGAACCGGCTGAATCCAACCATTGCATGTTGGATATATTGTATATATATATACGTAAACAGTTGAACGTGATGGCGGTGTCGATCAATCCCGCAATCTGCTCGCACATATTTATCCTATGTTGCATTCAAACCCGCGCAGGGCAACCAGAAATGCGATGGCAAGCCTGACCCTTTTTCCCGACCCTTAAGTTAACGCCTCTTTGATCCTAACATCATTTGCGTATTGCGTTTGTGAACAAAATATGATTTGTATCCATGGTCATTTGTATGTTTGATTGATTGCTGCGGGGTAACAGCAAAGTTTGACCCGCGTCATTTAGGCCAATGCACGCTGGTTTGCCACCAGTGGACCACTTTTTACTGGACTCACATGTCGGCATGTGGGGTTCCGGTAACATTTCTTGTTAGGCAAAGATCCTGAATTATTGATGAGTATTACTATTGAACACTAATTATGTGGTAAACACAAAAGTGACTATAAAAAATAGTCACTTTGGTAAACACTTAGTGAGACACCATGCCGTGACCAACGCTGAATGAAAAGTTATGGTTAAAACCGTCTCTTGCCACCAAGTGGTCAGAATGGTGCTAGTGCCTGTTTCGACTCGTACAAATCTGCAAATGTTTTCAGTGTGGTTTCAATTTCAATAGTTTCAATTGGTCCCTGTAGCTGTCTTCGGATGATCTATAATCGTTTGAGTGAAAATGACAGATAGTGTTGAACAAAATGGATCTATAATGGAGGAAGATATAGAAGAAGCAATCCATTTTACCAGAGTTTTGAACTCTTTCCGAAGTTACAAGAAGGATGCTTTGGCTCATGTACTCACCATGGAAAAGAATTTTCTTCAGTTGCCAGAAGCTCATAGGAAGCTATTGCCAAATCACTTGAATATTTTATCAGGAATCAAAACTTGTGTCGAACAAAACAGTGCGATTTGTATGGAAATTGTAAAAAGTTGTGGAAATGCGTTTCAGAACAAGTCTTACGAGGAGACTGAAAATGATAAAACAACAACAAACCCTCGTCCAATGGATTTAGACAAAGTTCGCACAACTTTGAAACAGATCATGCGTGACTGGTCAGAACAAGGGCAAGTGGAGCGTGACCAATGTTATAAACCAATCATAGATGAAATTAATCAAAGGCTTCCTTTAAATAAAGACTCTGGCTTGAATCCCACAGTACTTGTCCCTGGTTGTGGTCTCGGTCGTTTGGCATGGGAACTTGCTCGCATGGGTTATATTTGCGAGGGAAATGAATTTAGCTTTTTTATGTTATTTACATCAAATTTTATTTTAAACCGAACCCCTCATTCGAGTGCCGATAATTTTCACCAGTTTACAATTCACCCATGGGTGACTCAAAAATGTAATGTATCCACTTGGGATTCTGTGTTAGCTTCTGTGAGGTTTCCAGATGTTAACCCAGCGTTACTTCCACCATCTTCACGATTCTCTATGGCGGCTGGCGACTTTTTAGATTGTTACAAAAAACAAAATACTTGGAACTGTGTTGCCACTTGTTATTTCATCGACACCGCACATAATGTTATTTCATATATTGAGCGCATTTTTCATATTTTAGTTCCCGGTGGTGTATGGGTTAATTTGGGTCCTTTATTATATCACTATGCAGATATGCCACATGAATCCTCCGTAGAATTTTCATATGAGCAAATTATTCGAATAGTAAAAAATGTTGGGTTTGAGGTTGTTAAAGACCAAAGAAATTTAGACAGTACCTATGTCAATAACCCAACTAGTATGCTTCAATATAGTTATAAATGTTGTCTCCTGGTTGCTATAAAACCATTGTCAAATAGTTAACTATTAGTTGAGCCAGTGTCGGGGGACATTTGGGATACAATTTACTTCGTATTATGATGCTGTATTAAAAAAAACTCAAATTCACTAGCTTGCTTCAATCATTATTCAAAATAGGCTTTCCCTATACTGTTGGTGTAACAGTCGTTCCCAAACCGCAGGCCAGTTTTGGCTGCGTACGACTTAATATAGCCCAGCAACTTGAGTGAGATAGTTTAAAACTTTGTTTTTGCTATTTAGCGTTCTAGATACTGCCAATTTTTATGTCATTATCGCAGTTTAAGCTCGTGTATATACGTAACAATTCGGCCCGCGAATATCTTTCCGCTTTTAATTTTGGCCCCGATCAATCAACTTTGAGAACCACTGGTGTAACACAATATTGGAATCTGTGTCATCTTACTAATTTTTATTCATTTCACGGATGTTTATTAAATCCGCTATCGCTCGGACTCGAAGGAGCAGCGACTAAAACTTGATTTGAAAATCAATAAAAGTTCCTGATGCCTGCTCAAAATATTTGTTTAATTCCTCAAAAATGAGTTTGAAATTAAATTTATTAATGTAGAATATTTGATATACCGTAACATAAATTGGATTATTATTCACTTCTTTACAATTTACGAGAAGAAAAATTAGGTTTATTTTCTGCCTGGCCATCCAATGTCAAATTCTCAAGGTGATAAATTTTAAATTAAACTAATCTGAATTAATAATAAAATCAAGATTTTACTGTATCGAACATACCCAATTTAAGATGTATTTGGTTCACTTTGATATCCTTGCCTTTTATACCTTATGTTAAATTTTTTTCTTGTTTTTATAGGTAGATTTAATCTTTGATAAGAGTTATTTAAAATGGAAGATTCATCTGGGTTTGAATGTGAGATCTGCTCTAAAGAATTCAGCTCTAATAAAAAATTGAAAGCACACACAAGACTTCATGTTGTACCTCGGGCTTACCCATGTGTTGTGTGTGGGGAAATATTTATCGATATGGTTATTTTACAACATCATATGTTAACACATACAGGAAAGGAGAGCCATAAATGCAATATTTGCCAAAAATTATTCTCTCGTAAAACGACATTACAAATCCATATGCGTTTACATGACGGCAATACTAGTAAATATGAATGCATGGAATGTGGAAAAGCAAATGGTACAAAATATGATTTAGAATGCCATATGAGAACACATACTGGCGAACGACCTTTTGTATGCGAAGTTTGTGAGCCATCGGTCAGCTTTGCGACGAAATCAAGTTTACATCGACATACGAGAAGGCATTCTGGATATCAGCCATATTCATGTAAAGCATGTGACAAATCTTTTGCCCGCAAGGATCAATATACAAGACATATTGGAAAACATCTTCAATACCATTGTCAAATATGTGATAAATATTACTCAACTTATCAAAAATTCACTCAGCATAGAGTATGGTGTATAGTGCCTACGACACCTACAAGTCTATTCGAGGATGAAAACCTTACTACAAGTCATTTAGATTTAACTAGCACGGAACAATTCACTTTTCCATTACCAGAGTCTGATAGTCAAGCAAAGACATTGTCGTCTGATAATATTGCTACCATAAGTGAATCAGATTCACAATGTGAAGCAAAGGAATTTAACTCAGATATTACTGAAGATAAAAGAACTATTGTAATACATATTTCATTAGACAGTGATGATTAATAAAATGGTAGCCTACTGTAATTTTATTTCTTTACTCGGATAATTGGACATGAATTGAATTATTTTTGCAAAACAGTTCTTCGCTCTAATAATGCCACAGCCTTACAATTAATTTTGTCATTTTTTTTCATTTATTTATTTGAACTTGTTTCAGATCTTTTGTTTCTTCCCCAAAATCATAACTTCCTAAACATTCGATGTAATCATCTTTTTTTGGTCATGAGATCCTTTGAGAAATTGAATTTTGATAACAAAAACTTAAGGTCAAGCCTTCTTAAATTTTCTCCAAACAATTCTATATTTTGACTTAAACTCCCATCCCTGGGGAGTTTAATAATACGACTCTGGCTCAAATATCATTAGATACATGGCTAACTCTTAACACCACAACCGCGATAGTAGTATTGTTATCTATATGTCAACTCTGTTTTCAAGACTTTATTTATGAATAAATTTTAAATCCTTGTTTTAGATTCTTCTTATAGTTCTAACTTATCAATCATACTTGTTAGCGGAACAAGATGGTGAAAGAACCGAAACATGGTAACCCTGGGTCAAGTATGGTGCAATACAACCTTATGGCAATGCGGCAAAACTTCGGAATAGCGGAATATTGCAGAACTGGAGTATCTGCCCTTGGCGGAGTGACTGCAGGAATTCTAGGATTGACCGGACTTTATGGATTCGCGTTTTATGTTATTTGTGCTTTATCGCTATTCATAGGAATACTCATCAAAGCTGGATTCGGTTCGTCGCACAAATATTTCTTGTCAAGAAAGTCTGTTCTGTTAACGGGACAATTTGGTGCCCTGTTTACTTATATTTTATTCTGGACATTTTTATATGGAATGGTTCATGTGTATTGATGAATACAAGATTCATGATTTATCGGACACTAAGTGACTCAATGGTTGTTAAATTATTGTTGTTGTTGGGAAGTTCATTAATGATGAAGAAGTCAGTTGAAGGTCACTGTTTTTTTCAAATTTCCTTAAAAAATAATTTCGTTTTTTAAATCTGTGATTGACATTATGAAGACCAGGCAATGCTCTTATCTTTGATCTCTAAGAAAATTTGAAACACAACTTATAAACAGTGTTCCCGGAGCGTGTATGCACTTTTCTGGAGTGCTGTATGAAAAATCCATTTCAAGGGATGATTATCACATTGACTATCTTTTCAAAGTATTTCTCTGATTTTTAAAATATTGCTTTTTGTGTCCTATCAATGTTGTGTTGTTTCCCATCTCGAACCAGTTCTGTGCAGTAAAATAGAGAATCTCAATAGAATCAATGTTTGAAGCACTGTTAATTTGTTACTGTAAGGCTGGGTATATTCAGCAAACCAGATATTATATAAAAAAACCTGTTGCCACCGAGTTCAACACGAATGATAATCACCACCCATGAGCCATGACCTGTCAGTTTTGTCATAGCGTTGGTGCTTTTGCCCAACAGTTATGGCATATGTTGCCAAGGGTAAAACAGCTCTACTTCGCTACACCTGTTGAAGCCTTATTCGATTATTGGACTGTGGCAATTGCATATTGCAGGACATGCTCAATACCCCACTTGAATGTGGAATAACAAATGATCGACCAGGACTTTTAACAGCATGAGACGTTTATCTCAAAACTCATCTTGTGCATTCTTACCCATGAAAATGTATTTCCTATTTCTGCAACTATTTATATGCAGGTCTCAGGGGTGGGTGTGTTGTTTGCAGAAATCTAAAACTTTATCCACCTTACTAGAGCTGAAATAACAGGCACGGTTATAATTGGTCACCTGAACAATCGCTTGCTTATAGAAGCCAGTTACCGCACATTTGCGGCCTCGTTCCAATCTCAGACAAGCTTTCTAATGAGCATTCTTAAGATATTTGCACCCTATTTTCACAGTTATTGATGACCACAGCACTATATAGTTATACAGCTATATTATAATTAAATACAATGTTATTTTGAAGACATACATAAATTAAAGTTAGTCACATACTCATTCTTACCAGAGAAAAATAATAACCTTTTGGCACTTGCTTTGCTACATATAAGCTCTCTCTTGCATACAATGCCATATTCTTCTTGCATTTTGCACAATGTGAAATAAATTACTTTTGTTTGAAAGAAGCGGAACCTTTCCGGGTCTTCATTTCCTACCCAATTTATCACACACAAGTCTAATAAACTCTAATGACACTGTCAATATTATTCAGCAAAAATAATTATTAAATCTGCCATTGTAGGTACCAACAAAAACACTGAATCAATTTTAAAAATAATTATCTATAACAATGCATAGGATTCATTGAAGTATTATAAACAAAATAATGCACTATTAAAATATTCAACAAAGAATTATTAAGGTTAAGAGTCTTGGAAATGGCAAAAAATGAGACGTAGCTGGACTTTCTGATTAATATAACCTTAGTTTGACTCTTTTCATCCTCGGAGTCGAGAGCCAAAATTGCAGACTAACAATGGTGAAAAAAAAGTCAAACCCAAAAAGCATTAATATTACCAGGCGTTCTTTGTAGCCTATAAAAGAAGGCTCGCATACAGCAAAATATTCTTCATCAAATTCTTGGAGATCGGAACTAGAATTTTTTTACAACCCGAATTTCCTCCGACTGCAAGACCCAGTCCACGTCTCATTTTTGTCATTACCATGACAAGTTAATTTCACAAACAAAATTATAATTTATTGCTCCTCTCATTGACAACATTTTTCCTTTCTAATGTCTCAATTTCTTCTTTCGAAAATCCGTATTCACTCAATACCTCTCTCGTGTGATGACCTGCGTTCGAGCCAGGATTGGTGTCAGCTTGAGCTGGAGTTCTGGATAACCTAGGAGCAGGTGTAGGAAGATCCTGTCCGTCGTCAGTTTTAAAAAATGAACCATTTGCCCTGAAAATAACAATCTTGAAATTCATCTCGAGTAAATTATAAATGATTTCAAAATGATCTGCAGAAACCCTAAAAGGATTGAGATTGCTTAGATTTCTTAACAGTGAATAAAAGATGATTTGCAATGCAAATGGGATTGAAACCTATGGGCAGTGGATATATTCATTTGGCTAACATAGACAGTCCTACTAGTAAAAGAACTAGTAAAAGAACTAAAATAAGGAAATCAAAATAAAATTATGGCCTAACCCTAACCTGGTACACATACTACAAGAGTACCCAAAATTGTTCTTAACTTTTTTCAGAAGAGAGTCTGAATTATTGGTATATTATTCCCAGTCTACATAGCCTTGGTCAGAAAAATTCACTGTAATTTCCGAACCTATTATGAGGATGCTGAGCAGCTTCTTCGGGTGTCAACACAGGAGTGAGGCAGGCATCAGAACCTAAACAATGGAGAGAAAATCTCACATATAAAACATATCGAAAAAAGCCTGATATATTTTGAATAAAGTTTTTCTAAGAGCTATAAAATTAGGAAAAACAAAGACAGATTAAAATCAAATGAAAAAGGGTTATGTGAGATAATTAACAATCAAAGTTCGAGAACTCACTCATGATTTTTATAACTCTTATCGTGCCTTCACTTTGACTAAAGCCCTGTAAAAGCATCTAATAATACACAAAGAAAACAATACATGTTCTGGCTGCCATTTCCTGGCCCCGGGTCTGGAGGTGGGCATGGGGCATTTAGGCAATCATTATGAGGCAGGATAAGTATGTAGAATAAAATTTTACAATATTGTTCAGTGCAGTCGGAATGAAATTTCAGGCAGACCCCATAATTATATGACCTATTTGGTTTAGTTGTTGATCATAGGTTATGTGAGCATAAGGTATAAGTGGTAGGATTCAGGAATTAGGACATGGACAGCTTATCCGATCTTTTTCTGTTTTGGGCGAAATTTTAACACAACGTATGGGGATTTATTGGGGAACATGCAAAACAGCTGTTGAATCCCACCCAATTATTGTTTATTTGGAAAATTGACCTAAGACAGTGCTCTCAAACGGTAGGGCGCACCCCACAAGAGGGGTATAGTCAATTTTAGAGGGGACGTGAAGGTGATTAAGAATTTTGGATATTTACATTTCTTTATTTCGGATATCTGAGTTCCATTCATGTATTTTCAACTTGTTTTTGGATTAAAACATACTTTTGCCTTAGCAAAAGATAATCGGAATCAAACAAAACAGAAAATTCGGGGTGGTACAACCAATTACCAACCTTCAAAAATCTTATTCAGTTCTTCCATTGTATAACTTGATACTTTTTCAGAAATAGATTTCCTCAGTTCTGGCCATTTTTCAATGTCTAGTTGACTAGGTAAATCATCTGAATCCAAACCTAAACCTGAGAAAATATCACAAAAATTATTATTAAAACCAGCATGTAAAAAGATTTTGATTTTTATAAGGAGATGATATCCAATAAGCAAGAGGAAAATATGTCATAATGCACAATTAGTTTTTTTATGAAATTCTCCTGTTCATCATATAGATATCTAAAATAGTACATTATAATCTAGATGCATACAGGGGCTCAGCATGTTATATGATTGATGATATCCAATATAATGCAAAGATCCATAGCATCAGGCCATATGTTTGAGGCATCTAGGATAGGATTTATATATTTATCCCGGAAGAGAGGAAAGTCGATGTGATGGCGTAAACATATGGCGACACACAGCTTCTCATCCAGTTACCAGTCCATGTCGGGTATAGGATTAGTTAGCTAGGTATTTGTTTTCGGAAGCATGGACTAGATGATGGAAAAAGCCTGCCTGTGCCACAAACTACTACTAATTATATAGCTCATACTCCTCTAATAAGAATGAAACCACATCAAACCTTCAATTAACTTTTCATAAAACTGCGGTTCAAGAGCTCCAATAGCAACATGTCTTCCATCTTTTGTTGTGTAACAATCATAAAATGGTGCTCCTGTGTCTAGAAGATTGTTGCCAGGTTTATTGAAAAACATCATCGACTTCATGACATATGCAAAAGTACTGACATAAGCTGATCCTTCAGTCTGTAAAAATGGATGAAGGCCTAGCTGTTAATTGGCGCATTAGGCTTAAATGTGTTGATATCACAGGTTATATATACATCTTGGTTCACTCCCCATGCACCCAAACAGGGTGTAATAAGTTGGGCAGGCAATGCTGAAAGATTCTGATCCATACAAAATTAGTAACTCCATACATATGTCAAATATCAGTGCCTTGCTCGGAGCAAAAGGCAAGATTAAACATTGTGTATATAAGTAGTAAAATAACTGAAAGATGTAGAGTATAATATTTTCTCATTTATCACAGGGGAGAAGTAATTCGATAGGAAAACTTAGTCAAATGACAAACTACCGTAATTTGATTATCAGTCCATGATTGACATGAAAATAGTTAATTCATAAATTCATTTCAGATGTGTGGACTCGATAGTGGAGAAATAACTGACCAACAGTTACATGAATTACAAACATACAAACCCACACAGACTGA